CCGCTCGAATTTCCACGGGGCAGTAAGTGATATTCGGACGCGTGGAAAGCTGAATTTAAAGTTGCAGAATTGTTGAATAATAGTTGAATAATGGATATTTTTATCATAATTATAATAATTATGATAACAGTGATTATTGGCAGCGAAAATGTAATAACAGCAAACATAAAATTTCAGCTTCCTAGCTTCCGTAGTTCCTGAGATAATAATTTATCAGCAAAAATTTTCACAAGGCCGTAGATGATACCCGAGAGCGTGGGAACGCTCAATTTGGATCTGCAAGGTCGTGTTTGGACAGGGATTCATTACCCTAAAATTTCAGCTTCTTATATTCAGTGGTTACCGTGATAATAATTTACCCGCAAAAATTTTCACGGGGCCATTCGTGTTATCGCGGGCAGGAGAAAGCTGAATTTAAATTTTCTGGGTCGCGCGTGGGTGGGCGACTTGCCCACAAAATTTCAGTCTTCTGCTCCCGTGGTTTCCGTGATAATAATTTCACCATCCATACTTTTACGGGGCCATACGTTTTACTTGCGGACACGGGGAGGCTGAATCTAAATTTGCGGAGTCAGACGTGGGTGGGGAACATTCCCCTAAATTTTCAGCTTCCTAGCTTTTGTGGTTTCCGAATTGAAACTTGCGGACACACACAGAAACAGCCCCGAGACAATATGCGTTTTGTATCGCTGTTACACAGCAAAAAACGTATAAAAAAGCAATATAAAATTAGTTTCTGGTATGCCTCAGCTAATTTCATTTACAGGCAGAAACTTATGAGCGTTCAGTAAGGAATCTGAATAATAAAAATATACAAACAGACGACAGAATGCCTGAAGAAACACCGTCCCCGGCTCATTCAGCAAAAAATGTGCAGGTTAGTGATACTAATATGCAGAAACGCATTGCACAGTAAACAAAACTCGCGGGAAGATTGAGTGGCCACTCAGGCTGACCCGAAAAGGTGATGCACGCACACGAAACAGGTTTGCTTACTGGTCGGTGGCAGGGAGATCAGGATCGAATGGCTTGGCGTTGCTTCGCCAGGCATGTCGAGGCATATCATTAAAATCATAACATGGAATACCTTCACCGATTATTCTCGTTGTCTAGGTATTCCAGACATGCTGTATAGCTTTTCCTTTTGATAGATAGGGAGATATAATCATTTTCAAAGTAATTTCATAACTTTACTGAGTTTCGTTTTTTCTTTTCAAAAATGCTTTCTTTTTTCCGACTGAGTGAAATAATTCCTCAAGACAATCCGCTATCTTATTTTCGGGCTGTCTTCGTGACGGCTAACAAATTTTTCGTTTGGGTTACATTACTCCACTCTCAATACAGTCAATCATCGATGCTTTGGATAATTTGATTGTTTAAAAATTTGTGTGATTCTGCCTCGTTTTATGTGCTTCCCTTCTTAATTAAAGAAATCTCATTCAATATGCACCCTATTCGGACGTTTTCAGGATATAGGGACCAATGTAAGTCGCAACGATGATGTCCAACCAATGCAAGCAGAAACGGGTACACAGTGGACGAAAAATGTTGAAACACCAGGGTAATTTCCTGTTCTGCTCACGTTATATTCTAGTTTTAACCCAGTTAACAGTGGAAAGACGTGTTGCAGGTTTCAGCAAGTTGCAACACATTTTCGATGAAGTACTACGATTTCGGACTGGCATGAGCGATTTTTGCCATGGAGGAGAGTTGAGTTGTTCTGTTAGCAAAGGTATTAGGCAACAGATGGACAAAGCGGATTACCGGACAGTATCTGTACAGTGTGGAATGTAGAATGATCGTTTTGAACGACTGTGTGGAATCATGTCTATGAAGGATGTCCTAAATGGAGAGGAGAGAGAGTTTGCCAGCTGACTCAGTGACGAGAAGAAACACGATGATGAAACAACAACTGATTAAAGCGTCTTTGGCGTAGCAAAACAATTCAGACAGAAGCATAGAATCTTTAATGTCACCAGATATAAAGATGGAGACTTTGTTATGTCCTGAGAATTTTGCAGAACAGAAGATATAGCGGTCGCAGTGCCAGCACTTGCGTCCAATCTGTCAGCATCAGCGCCGTGTATCCGGGATGGTGAAATGGATTCGGTATCCGATGCCACATCCCTGCCTATGGATCCTACAAAGTAAGGAGGAATATGAAAATTACA